ATTTGATTCATAAAAGTACTTATCTATTGCCCGAGAGAGCAAGAACCGCTTGCATATCTTGAGCAGTCACTTTCACGACGGGAACGCGCTTTTTCTTGGAGGTCATCTTCGAGGTGCCAACATCAGACGATCCAGTAGAACTGAACATAGGACTTCAAAGGAATCGCTCATGCCCTGAAACGCTTACTCCATTCCTGCAGATTTTGAAGCTTCTTCCAACTTTTTCTTGGCTTGTAGTCTACGCTGCGCGACCAACTTCTTCGACTTAAATTGAGAGATTTGATTGGCTACTAGATCATTAGAATAGTCTAACTTGTTGCGACCAATGTCTCACCTTATAACAGCTTTCAATTCCTCTCTTTCTTTTCTTCGCTGGTTTCTTGACACTTGCACTTTCCTCTTCAGTTGGTCCTCTGAGTATAACAATGATTGACAAGGACTTAGCAGATATGCAAGAGTGTGAGGGTTTTATCGTTCTCAAGCTGAATTTATACTTGACCTGGATTCCCAACACAGTTCTGGCACGGGGCTAGAACCGTGACGCGCGGTGAAATGGTGCCAGACTGCATCAGGTAAGACGTAAATGGTCAGCTTTACCGAAGATACAGAATTTAGTAAAATTATCGAAGAAAAGTTATGGGCATCACCTATCAACTATATTATAGGTCCTCCCCCCCCCTTCATGTTAGGTTGTCAGTCTGTTCAAAATAAGGAGTGGGTTTCCAAGATTAGAAATCTTGAGAAAACTTGAGAAGAAGGAAAATTGCGAGATAGTCTGTTCCCCGTCCCGGCACAGTTTCAGCACAGTTTTCTCGCCGTGATCAAGTATGAACTCAAGCTTAACTATACTAATGATTGCCAAGTACATTGCACAAGCTGCACGATGCTTTGCGAACTCCGCACAGTCCACGATAAGGTCTCGCGCACGATTCTGAGCTGCTTCGGTCAAAATCAAAATAGCCTGAAACAAACTGCACCGATAAGAAATCTTATTCCTTAACACTACCTCGTCTTCAACCACACAATGCTCCTTCAGCGTGTTCCTGAACAGATCGCGAACCTTGTCAGGATCAAGGAAAGAATGGTCAAACATGGATCCTTTGAAAATGCGACATGGCTGGAACATGAAGATCGTTACCGGCAGGCATCCTCTTGTTTTTTTCTCACAAAATGTACCTGGGGATCGTGTGTGAAAATGCTGGATGTCTCAGTTCCCGTTGTCACTGGCTCTTCCTCAGTATCGCTACTGATATCGTACTCTGGTAGACGTTCCGCAACCCACTGTGGAATGGCTGGAGCTTCTCCATTCTACAAGAATGGGAAGTCATTAGACCATAGATCTATTCAGAAAACTGGCAGTTTTTCCCACAAAACAGCTATCAAGTTTTTTTTTTCCAGAAAGAGACTCTCAAGCGCAATTTGAACCTTCTCATGAAGGTTCTTCCGCGTTTTCTGCTAGACATGATCGAGGCTGTTTGCCGTCAAAAACGGTCATTTTAGAAGACCATTCGGAATAGTGACTGCATTTCCGAGCTTATGTGGTCAGAAAGGCGAAGGGCGCTGAAAAGCATTCACGTATGCATCCAACTCAGGGTTCTTCACCAGGAGCGAAGTAGCTGTGTTATGATAACAGTGCACCTCTTCCTCCTTACCTCAATGATAGATGGTGACTTCGTATAAGGTTGTCTCGAAGAAAAAACTTTCTGTGGACTCTGATGCATCAGTTCGACAGATCGAACTTTGAAATATTCATCGTTCTCGATCCCTCTGGATGAGCTAAGTCCAAAACTGTGCCTTGCAGCTTCAGAAGATATCAGTAATTTGCTTCCCCATACGTGAAAAGTGCTGTTTGGGCGGGAGGCGAAAGCCCGCCTTAAAGGCAGTGTCCACCCAAAAAGTCGATCTT